ATCAGTTCAGCAAAAATTAGCTCAGCTCCATTATAGCGAGCCGTAGCCGAGCCGGAGCCAGCCGTTTTGCATCACTACCCACGGCAATGGAGAATTTATTATTAGTATTAATTGACATAAATTATGATTGGTAGTTTTTATAATTGGTTATAATACAAGTTTGCATTTTTTTAAAAATACAACCGTTATTTATAATTGTCCAGATGCTTTTACTACGCATTACCTAGTGCTACATAAGACTCTTCATTCACAAGCAAAGCCTTAATTATTTTGCATATTTGGCTTGCATAACCTGGACAGGTTTAAAAATTAAAAATCGTATAATTTTTTTTTTTTTAGAATTAATTTATTTTGATTAATTAATAGTGATTAAAATTCAGAATAATTAATCTTTTTTTTCCGCCTCTAATCATGTTCATAAATATATATATATATATATATACTTAATTATAAACATATATACTAGTTTGTGTCCTGTGCTTTGCACATGAGTGATGTATCATTAAAAAAATTTCTTTTATTATAATTATAATAGCAGAGGTCTTTTTCGATTTTTAACAGCTAGTGCTTCAGGGTGCGTAAGGGGCGCTTCGAGTGTAGCACGGATTTGCATGAGGAGAGTATCTTTCTGCGTTGTGAATACAAAATAAAATTTATGTAACTTGATTAGAAATTTTACCGTTACTTTATGTTCGTAAAGCAGATCCTCATGCAAATCCGGGCTACACTCGACGCGCCCCGACGCACTAAAACGAGGTTAAAAATCAAAAATTTTAAAAATGACTCGGCAAATCGGCTTTTAATTTTATTTTCAAAAATTTTATATATAAATTTTTTTATTTATATATAATCTAAAAAAAAAGCTTAAATATAGTCAAAAATTTTTTTCGAAATATTGTACGTAAAATTTGACCCGGAACCAATTTATTAACAGTTAATACGTACGATAATTCTCTAACCAATCAAAATTTATTTATTTACGAACTTCATTCCTGATTCTACCAATAATTGGTAATTATAAATTTAAATTTAAAAAGCTACTTATAGGCCCCTCGTTATTTAATGATTCGTTTCTATATAGTAACTATTATCGTTATGTTTAAAAGAGAAATAATGTATCAATATGCATTAAATGAATATATGTTTATAATTTTACGTAACAATAAATATATGATTTTTATTAATGTCGTGTAATGAACTTTAAATCAAAGTCCTCGGAATTTTCTAGCATACTAGTTATATTACGACAACCACATAACGGGTGCTGGTCAAAATCCCGACAAACAGAATCCCGACAGGTCATAATCCCGACAAAAAAATCCCAACAGTAAAAATCCCGACAACAAAAAATTATTGTTTATTTAAGTTAGGGTAAGATTAGGTGAGTGCATAGGTTAGGGTTAGGGCGTGTGCCTAGGTTAGGGTTAGGGTATAGGTGATTTTATATAGTAAAATTGCTCAACGAACACTTTTTTGATTGTCGGGATTTGTCGAGATTTTTGATTGTCGGGATTTTTTTGTCGGGATTTTGACCCAAACCCCACATAACCAAGTCCAACCAAAATTGTTTCTATATGTCTATAGAATAATGGTTAAGAAAAATTTTACCGAATTAAGTTTGATGGTTTTTAGATGCTACGTAGAAAAATCTTTAAATGTATGTTTTAAATTTTTTTTCATATGCAGAAAGGCTGAATAAATATCTTTAGCTTAATGCATTACAGATTTTTTCGGCACAATTGAAGGATCCGAGTTTAATAAAGATAGACTAACTTACTAATTCAAGTAAAGTGCATATAAACTTGTAAATCAGGGCTAACTTGGATTATAACAATAGGGTATGTACGGAATGTACTTACATACGTACGTTATCAGCTCGATAACATTGATAACTAATAGCATACCGGCTTAATTGCAAATAACATTCAAATCTTTATTTAGGAATTCCAAAAAGACTCGTCATATATACCAAAAATGTCAACTTAAAGGTTTTATTTGACGCCCTAAATTACATTCTTAACATGATAAAGTAAAAAAGCTTTCAATGAGTAATAGTTTGATGCAGGCGATAGCCCTTTAGTTATTAGTATACTAACATTGAAAATTATCGGACTTTTATACTTCAGCACTAGCAAGATAATGCAGCAGAGCGTTGGACAAACGACAAATATGTGATGAAAGGACAATACAGTATCCAGCATCACGGTTATATGGTTATGCATCTCCACAGTGCTGGTGATAGTGATTAAATTTGTCAAAGTGTGAACTTACGTACGTACGTACGTGCGTACGTACTAAAGAGAGTTTGAACCGGATTTATTTTTCATATATTACAGTAAAACCGATTAAAACCGGTTTTGACAAACTCTAAAAGTAGCAGATGGGCACAAAAATAATATTAAAGTTAATATATATTTTTATAGTTATTAAATTTCCATACTTTAAAACTGTCATAGCGCATGTTCACACATCAATACCAATAATAAAAAAATTCACATGACACAAGAACATGTGGAATATAGGCTACTAAGCTAACATAAGCAGGCACAACAGTGAAGGCTTAAAAAGGCTTAAAGTAGCATTAAGTATTACATTGAATAACTTAAATTAGAGAAATAAAAGAGATACAAGATGTTTATTATTTGGATTAGCGAATTTTTTGTTTATACTTTTCAAGAAAAATATTTATTACTAAAATGTAATAAAAATCACTATGATAAATATAAATATGTCATGAATACTATATAGATATTATTTATAAGAGTATTACAGTTGTACAGTTTAATACGTGATCTTACAAGTTGGCTACAATATGCATGCACTTATCAACTCATACATATTGCATGGAAACAAAGATTTATATCTTTATATCGTACATAAATGTTTGTCACTTCATTGATGTTTTTGTTGCTATTTTGAACTTTTGTGCTTCACTTCTCCTTCGCGTACAAATTCGTTAATTTTACAGCATAACACATGAGTATACATATATCAATTACTTTTATGATATAACTTGTGGCAACTTTTTATTTATTTTTTATTCTAAACTGTATTTGATTAAATTGACTAAACCATAAAAAAAAAGTGTTGGCACAAAAATTATATAAAGTATTACTATTGGAGACATAATTGGTGTAAAGATCTGTCACACAATATTTATTTAAACGAAAGGTCTCCTTGATCCGCAGAATTATAGATAAATAAATATATATAGAAAATTCGGATTGGATTCTTTTTTATTTTTTGCACGTAGCTTTTTTCCGCGTCTTTCTTTTTTTAAAAAAAAAAAAGCATTTATTTTTCCTGAACGGAAAATATATATATATATATATATATATTTCAATCTTTTAAACATGTCTAGTGATGAGAGTCCTGCTCAAAAAGACACTGTCCCCTTATTACTGAGGAATGTTCCTCGTAAATATGACGCCATTTCAGAACCTACTACTACAAAACATGTGACAGTAGAAAATATTCTGAAGCAAAAGTCTTTACGTGATGGTCAACTAGAATGTGGTAAACCAAGTTCTTTAATTTCCACATCAAATCATGCCGCTATTGGGAATTACCCTTGTTCAGCTGCTTTGGTTGTTAAAAACGAAGGAAGTACTGCACGTGACAATTTCGGTTCGTTATATATCTTTTTATTAAAAATGATTTTTTATAATTATGATTGTTTTTTTTTTAGTAAAATTAAGTTTTTTTTTGTATGAATAACTTTTCTAACTTTTATAATTTTTATAATTTTTAAATAGCGACTGAAAGAACCTTTTTATCATGGTTACGTATGAGTACGGCCTTAATTTTAACAGGTCTTTCAATCTGTTTACGTTTTAATTTAGTTCCTCAACCTACTACACCTATGTACGTAGATCCATTAGACCCAAATCCAATGGGTATCTTACTTATAGTCGCAGGTATACTTATTCTTATATGGGCTATTGTAAATTACTTTCGATTTCAAATGATGTTAGAACAACGAATTGCTGTTGTTCAATATGGAAAATTTAATTATTTTATAATTTCTCTTGTTGCCTCATTAATATTTATGACATTATTTGCAAGTATTGATTATACAAATCGTGCAAAAGAAAATAAAGGTGAAACTGTTGGTGCTTCATTTGTGGATTCTATTTTTCGTTGGTGGTTCTTTTGAAATCTTTGCATGTACAAATTTTTTTGGTCTTTTTCATTTTATGTAATATATTAGATAATATGTATTAGAAATCAATCACATTTTTTTTTTAATTATACAAAATAAAATTTTTTTCAATAAGTAGTACTGTGTATAAGCTATTTCAGTATTTGAAAAACAAAAATATGGACTGAGTCTGTTAATTGAATTAATTGACGATAGTTACTATAGTTAACGTTGACCACTGCATACAGTATTCCCAAAAAATAATACCCCGTGATTAATTCTTGAATAATACCTGGGTAACATATTTAATTTATTACTTTCGTAGTACCCGGTTCCTCACACAATAATTCAATTTTAAAAACGGAGTTTTTGAATAAGACCTCGGGTACATATACGTAGGATTTTAAAATTTTTTATTCTTCGATGTTATAACGTTATATTATGCAGTATTTTATATATGATGATACTGATGCATACGCTCGTTGCTCACATGAAATGCAGAAATGCTGTACATCACAGCATCATGTGATACAATTTAATCTTTGTTTATCCATGTAAAAAAATTTTTTTGGTTAAATTGATCACTTTGCCTTTCGTTGACCTTTTATCCATCTTATCTGTTATGACAAAAGTCCATTAACATTTAAAGATTCCATATAACAACCGAGTTGCACGCTACTTTATTGTCAAGTTTTTTTTTTATTTTTTATTTTTTTTTCAATTTTTTTTTTTGTGTGATGCTCTAAAGGATATCACCGTTATTCTTGCATAATCTGTTATACTCGGAATTCAAAAAAAAAAAAAATGGACAACTTTCAACAAAGAATGGCAGACCTTCTCAACAAAGCTCAAGATTCGAAAAGCAAAGGTACGTTCCTATAAAAGCTTACCAAACTACTTTCGCGTAATGTACAAATGTTCTTTACTCATACGAAATGTACATTGAAATTTCGCGTAAGTCTCACGTAACTTTGTTCGTTATACTAGTCGCGTCTACTACTGATCAGGCTGCAAATACAAATTCTGATGATAAACTGACTCCGGAAAAATCTTATAAAGATTTTCAATCTCTTAAGGATCTTTGGCGTAAAATGGGTTCTGTGGGTATGTACACGTCTACGTAATGATCTATTTTATAGTTGTTTCATCATTACTTATAACTAACTTTGTTGATTTGTTAAAAGATTCTCACTCCACTCCTGTGAGTAGCTCAAAGTCAAAAAGAAGCGCTTCCAAATATAATAAATCAAGTTCTGGGAAGAAGCAGAGCTGGAAATCTCATCAATTTAACGTATGTCACGTGATCACTTCGGATCTATTTTTTTTACATAATATTATTGATTTACATCAATTAATCATTTTTTATCGTCATCAATTGCATAGGACAAAAGACCTCCTATTCAAGTGTTAGGTCAATTTAGACGTGCTAAATCATCTTCCATCTTGGAACTTTTTAGAGATTGCAAAGATAAAGAAAACACTCCTCCTAGAATGCCTAGTACTCCTCCTAGAATGTCAAAGTACTCTTCCCCATCTTATTCTCCTTTGTCGGATCTAAGCCAAAGCCCTCTTTCAAGTCCATTAAAACGGATGGCGGAATCTCCAATTACTCAATATTTCAAAAGAGTTGATATTTCGAAAACCGTGATTAAAAGTACTCCGGCAAAGTCTACTCCAAAAAAATCAGGTGATGCAGAAACATCATCTGATGATGAATGTGATGATGATTCTGTGATTGATTCCGTGATTGATTCCACTCCTTGCAATGATTCAAAGAAGAAACCTTCAACTGTTTCCATCTCTGACACTAAAGAGAGTTTAATGTTGATTTCTCCTTCTCCGAAACCTGTTGTGACTTATAAAAAAGAAAAAGTTACCATTTCTGCATCTGTCGGCATTCATCACGTTTCAAAATCTCACGTGCACGTGACCCCTCCTACTAAAAGCGGAATCAATGGATATTTTCATAAAGTGAGAGGAAAACATAAAAAGGTTTCTCGATATATTACTGAAGATAAACTTCATGACGTATCTCCTGAGACTCTTCGTGTTTTTGCGGCTGCTCGTGGTGGTGATATCTCATTGTACCGAGAGTATACTATGGAAAACGTATGTATTAATTAATTAATTAATTGATTTTTTTGATTTTTTTTTATATATATTACATATATAATATCTTATTATTCTTATAAATTATTCAATATAGCCCTTCATCTGATAGAAAAAATTGGCTAAAGCTAATTTTTGACTTTTGACTATTTTTTTCTGATCGATTTTTTATGCATTCAAACATTCACGCATATGCTTTTTATAATTGCAACAAGTTGTTTTTCTTTTCTTTTTTTTTGTACATATATATTGCAAATAGAAGTAAAAAATTTTTATAATAAACTTTGATGAAACTTTAATTTCTGATTGACGTTATTTTGCTTCTGGTAAATTTAATCGGATTGTAATCATATTCGTTAGAGATTTATCATATAGTCTATTATATGAAATTAGCTAATAAAATTTCGGTAATTTAATGATCCTTTTAGCTGCCTTAGTCGAATAAATAAGCTTGTTGGAAAGGTATCATTAGTGTGCATATATATCAGTATGAAAATTCAAAGTGAATTATGCTTTATAACACTGTTTCTCGACCTTATACCCTTAAATTTTTAAACGTGCAAAACATTTAAAATATTTTCAGTCGTTTATGCCGTTTATACGTTTAATATCAAGCAGTAAGGTCCCCAAAAGTAGTGGGATATGTTTGGTAGGTTCTATATTCATATAATATATTAACACGTAAAAAACAAGGTTTGCAAATTGAATTGTCGAGATTGAAAGCTTAGTCAAAAATGACAAAGAATCAATGAATATTTTCGTTATTAAGAAGCCGTTGCGCAATAAAAAAAAAACTAGTCTGCGATGACGAAAGTTATATTATTGGAAATATATGAAGATTGGCCAAATCGACTAAGCCGATAAATGTTAAACTGCTAGTATCATAAATCAATCTTGCTATTTTCTTGCGGGTATTATTAAATTTGACATGTTTAATTACTAGGTACTGTACTTTGGTATGCTTTTTGGATCCACCTACGAACGTATACATAGAATTTTTTTTAGCATCGCGTATTATAAGGATATTTCGATGTTTAACCATTTGTTAAATGTTAATTGTTTCCCACTACTTATTTGTGTGATTTTTATTATTTGTATCGTATAGAAACAGTTAATCTTTTTTTATTAAAAATATAATAATGATAATAATAGTAATAAGGCCATTCATAACCGACCGGGTCAAATTCTGCAAAAATTAGAAAAAAATTTTTGAATATTTTACTATCCTGGTCGTTTTTTTTAGATATCTATAAAAAAATTTTATATTTTGTAAATAAAATTAAAACCAAAAAAATTTAAATATATCGATATACGCTGTATTTGATTAAATTTATTATTATATATCACTATGCTCATTATGTTTTTAAACAGGTTTCCTTTCTAGTCTTGGTCATTATTAACGTTAAACAGGTTTTCTATCTAGTTTTGATTCATTATTTAATACTATAATAGTTAATTAATAAGTGTATATCTATTAATAGATGAAGCAAAAAAAAATTTTGCACCCGAAGGCGCATCCACTCAAGATTGAACGTGTCATCCTTGTGCAGGGGCCATGCTAATCTTCTCTGTATCGTTCCAATTTTAATAAGTGTCGCTCCGAAGAGACGACACTCATATTGCTATATCTATATTTATATATTAACCATATTCGGGTATTTAATAAATTATGGGATTATAATTTTGAACAATTTTCTGATTGGTTAATTTTTCAATAATGGTAAACTGTATATTACGTAATTATTTATTGATACAAATCAAAAACATAGCAGATCATAACGATAACGTCCAATTTCTTCAGAATTAGTAATGCTAGGTGAAATTAATTTCATCAATTTTTAACATAAATTTCATTAATCACGGTGAAATTATTTCAACACTAGTTTAATTTCAACAGCATCTTTCTGCACAACTATTTGCCTCTTTTTAAAAATTCTTACCAGAATTAAGGACTTAAGGATGTGTCGGCCTGCATTACATTAATGCTGGCCAGCTAACCTATTTCGAAGTTTTAGGAAATCTCGGAAACGGTTTCCAACTATGTAGTGTTATGTTTGTTTTCTAAATATTATGTCCTTATAAACCAAATATAATCATCAAAATTGCAATTTTGATTTGATTTGATTGAATTGGATCTCGATTTGATCTTAACATCAATCTCCAATTGATCAACGTAAACGTCACGTAGTTATGTATCACACAACTTAAAATATATTAATAGTATACATATTAACTAATTTAGTGGTACTATGCGACAAATATCCATGTGATATATCTATGTAATATTTAATCTTTTGATTTCTTTATCATTAATAAATCAAAAACGAGATTGATTGATTTAGATTTGTAATTCTTTAATAACGATATTTAAAACTGAATATATTTTCGTAATAACGGACATGAGCGAATATGGCCTGGTTTCGAAAATCAAATCATTATAAAAATAATGCTATGGGGAGACCCGAAATAACGCGTACACATATCAATAACTGATAATACATCAGCAGACTTATATATAGTAATAAATAAATTTAAGAAATATTGGTATTTTATCTCGAAATAACGCGCATCAAAATAACGCGCAGATTTCGATTATAGACATAATACATATATAGTTTAATAGACCTACTTTAAATAGACTTATTTTTTTATTTTGTAATTAAAATAGATCATTTGTTATAATAAACTGTAAAATAAAATTGAATTAACCTTAACGTTAATTTTAAGTCAAATTATATAATTGTGAAAGATAACTCGTGAGATGCTTAAAATGGTTAAAGTTTAAAGGAATACGTATTGCAGTTTTTATTTATTATGTAAACTGAAAAACATTACGAAATGTGGATCTAATGTGGATCTATTCAGTACCTGCAGGTTAACGGTAACATGTGACTAGGACCAGTCAGATATCAGCCGAGATATCTTTTGTTAAAATTGACCGATTATACAGTAAAGACTTGATAACGATAATAATTTAAACGCAATCAAATTAAAATGAAAACCAGGTCTAGTAAAAAAAAAAAAAGAAAAAGGAAGGCGTGCGCAGAAATAATGATAAAAAGATTTCCTTGTTTATCATGTAGTTGTTCTATCGCAATGGCTTTTTTGAGTTAATGTTAAATTTTGAGTCCAGTTCATGAGCTATTATAAATATTTTCAATCAATAAAAAAGCTTATATTGATAACTTCGTTATAATACTATATTTAACCTGTATTATTTTTAAATTTACAATAGAAAGCTTTTGAAGATGACATAAGTTAAGAATAGAATCTAGATCCGTTGTCACTTAAAATTTAATGATAAAGTAGAAAACTGGATCTAAACTCTGACGAAAATAACCTCACCAGAATCATTCAAAAAATCATTTACAGATCTAAATTTAATAAAGATTAACACCAATAGATGGGTAGTTTGGCGCGATAATGATAACATAAAAAAGAAACTATAATTTTTTTTTTGAAAAATTTATTTTAAAATGCTATTCACATGTTAGAGTAAAATATCAATGTATTATAATAATAAACATCTTTTCTAGTACTATTTTTAATTCAATTGCTTAGTACGTACGTGCTTGTGATTAGAAATACAACCTAAGTCGTAACTAGCCAAAGCTTGTCGCAACTAGTTACGGCATAAGCTGTAATAGTTTCTACCGCATCCTACTCGTGAGTAGTTTTTATAATATTATCTATGTGACTTATGCTAAATTTTTACTATTGATACATCAAAAACAACTTTCGCATCATTTTGATTAAACATTTGATGTCCTCCATCACATTACAATACTTCGATTCGTGTTAACTTAGTGTGCAAAAAAATTTATAACTAAGGCATTGAAGTAAATCATGAATGTTTTCCACTAATTTCTGAATTTCAAAAACGTTTCTTAAAAATTATTGTACTGTGTTTATTGATTCACATTATATTGTATAATTTAATAATCAAATTCTGAACGAAGTCACGAAGCATCCATTTGTCACGAGAACATATCCCAGACCCGTGAAGTTAATGAGCGATTTGAAACCGCCTAAATTTTATTAATATTAACCGTTTTAATCGTTTAACCGTATTAGTATTAGTATTAATAATATTAACCGTTTAATCCAGCTGGCATTAAAATTGACCTGGCTCATGATCAACATAATTCGGCCCGGAACTATAAAGAATTCTTTATGCAGTTGAACGTTTTCTCCTACCGTTACTGTCTAATTTAATCCTATAATCGGAAATTTTCGTATCTCTATACTTGATTGCATACTAAATAGCTTTCGTGCATATCGATATTTTATTTTCATTCTTTAGACTTTTACTGTCTTTATTCGTAAATTGCTATAGAATTCTTTAAAAAACTTTCTAGCGATTTAACGAAAATGCCGAAGATTTATAATGTATTAATTGAAGTCGGTCAAACACCATACCATCAAATATTTAAGGCACATTCAATAATTTTGAACTCTCGATGTTTTTATCTTCGTGAAAAACTACAATGAAATAAATATTAAAAAAAGATGTGTTCCACATATTTCTGTTACTATTAAGTATGTTATTACAATATTGCCATAAAATTTAACTCGATAGATATATGTATTTACAATGGCCCTTTTATTCAATAAAGTTGATACAATTCTTGATCTTTTTAATTGCTGCTAATGAATTTGGTTGTGAAGAATTGGGAAATGCCACAAAAGTTCAATTCGTTCAAAATCATGCATCGTGGGTGGATTCGTCTGAATTTTGGCTAAGTTTATAAACTAAGGATTGAATATGATGATTCAAAATTTTACATAAGTTCTGTAATGATATTATTGTTAAATATCCAAATATTGTTTTGATTCTAATCTCTCTTTTTAAACCTGACAACTTAAATATACAGTAGATAAAGAATAAATTTACGTATTAAATTGGGAATTCTGACCTTGATTTTGATCCTAATGCAAATTTTTTAACTTTTATCACTTCAACTGCAACTTCTAATGAAATTAATATAAATCTCTCAGAAAACGATAATAATATTCTTGAGGATATGAGAAAGTATGCATATGAATGTTTGAGTAAGGCAAAGCATTAGAATTTTACAATATTCTCGAAAACAGCTAAAGTTCAAGAAAAATGTTACAATTTGGAATCTATCTCGCAAATATATTTGGAAATTTAAATGAGTTAACAAAGGTACTTTGCAAGTACACTACGCTGAAAGATTTGAATCTTTATTATAATAATCTTAGATCAATCGGAGGAAAAGCATTAGCAGATGACAATTTGCAAGAATACCACACTGACTTCTTTGGATCTTAATAGATCTAGTGCATGTTGTTTTCTAGTGATATGAATAATCTTGGATCAGAAGGGGTAAAATATTAGTAGTTACACTTTACAAGAACACTACGCTGGATTCTTTGAATCTTAACAGGATGATATTGGTTTTAAATTAAAATAAAACAATCAAAGTATTAATATCGACAGTTCACGTTAAATTCATGCCATTTTATGCTGTGCAGAATTTTTAAACTGGTTTACTAGTATTATGAAGCATATTGGAATGAATTTTCAGTTTTTATACAAACTAGGATGTAAAACATGCTGTTTTTGATTTCTGGGATTTCATTAATTTTATATAATCGATGTAATCGATTATGTATAATTTTTTTTTTAAAATCGCAGTTTGCATCGATTGTGATTGTGGTGAGAGTAAGTACATATACTATATCAAAAAATCCTTTAAAATTGAGTACTGATTGATTACAGGATTATTATAAGACTCATTCTCAAAAGATCTTTGACGCTCTTACATGTAATAGGAGTACTTTACTGCACAATAATACAATTTGTTGTGGCGCATGAAAATAATGTAAAGTGTCAAATGGTCTTTTGAGAATGAGTCATGACCAACCTTAAAATAATCGACCAGAACTAAAGGTTTTTTGACGTAATGGAAGCATTTATCTTCACCACAATCATAATCGATTGTGGAGTGACAATTATCTCGAACGATCAATAGCCTACAGAATTTGCAAACCGCGATAATGTCCTTACTACCTTATAAAGCACTACTTATTAACTAAATTTTTTTATATTTCCTATTTCAATACGTGTAGCACAGGTCTTCAGGAATTAAATCCGATACATCTTAAGGTTTTATTTTGCTGCAATTTTTCCAAAATTAAATTTGATCTTTTTATCACAACGTTACCAACTGGAGTTTTATTATTATATTTATTTTCCTCTGTTTTTCTTTTTTTTTGTTTTTCACTTAATGAATCATTTCTCACAAGCGTTAGACACTTTAAATTTTTTTGATTCTTCAGGCTGGTAATTTTCCCATTTTATCTAAGTTCTTTTTAAATAGAAATGGTTCGAAATGGAAGAATTAGGTTTCAACTTTTTTTTAGTACAACAAAGAAAAAATTTACAAATGAAACTCGAAAAAAAGAAAGCAAAAGAAAAGAAGATACATTCTACAAAATATAACTTATAAACAAGGTTAAATGTTTTTATATACATAGGAATTTATCCTTTCATATATCGTTAACAGCTAGTTCATGAATTTTAAATTCATAACTATTTTTTTACTTTATCAATTGTGTTATTATAATATCAGCTAACACTGTGGCGCACCAACTGGTAAATGCTAATTCTTCACTTAAAAAGCTTGGTAAATGCATTAGCCATTGTGTTCATTACATCTAACTTATTTTTAGCATCTGGTGGCAAACATCCATTGAACGTAAGCGAATTATTCGAGAAATTTGGTGAAGAAATTTTACCAATAAATTGGTTCAAATCAAAGGGCAAGTTACTTAATTCTACTTTGTACTCAGAAGGGTTTAAATTCATACTAACACCAATACCATCATTAGGGTATTCTGATGACGTTAAATTTTTCATTTCTATAAATGTCAAAATAGAGAAAATGTTATTATTCATTTAGGCATAACCAATAAAAATAATATGAAACAGAATTTAAAGTCTATTTTATTTGGTTTAATCAAGAAGAGAAAAACGTTAATTTCACGTATAATATTAAATACAAACCATCAAATTCAATCTTTTTAGATAATTTAATCTCCATCGGATTCGCAGGTAAATCGTGACTTTCTTTTTTTTCTTTTTTATATGAGTTAGAAATACCATTTATATGAAATGAGATAACGCAAGATGATGCGGTCATGATAAGAGCTTGATTCAGTGAAGAAGTTTCATCCTTTTTAATTGATAATTCATTAATGATAGACTGATTTAAATCTTCAGAGGGAATTTGATTCAAAGTTTCATAAATTAAATTCATTTCTGGACGATTGTCAGGCTTATTATCCCAACATTTCACATAAAGGTTAACGTATTGGGGTGGTGTACCCTCTATAGGTTTCTCTTTGTTTCCTAGAGCTATGTGACAAATAAGGGAAAGCTTTGATTCGAAGGTTTCGAATGGTGGCCTACAACTTGAAATTTCCCAGAGGATTACACCCAAACTATAAACGTCGGATTTTTTATTAGGTTTATACTTATCGTCATCGAGACATTTAGGTTCAATGTATGGCAACATTCCTTTAATATTTGATTTTGAGGTTAATGAAACCTCATTTATTTGTTTGGACAGCCCGAAATCAGCTATTTTTGGTTGTCCTTGATGAATTAAAATGTTCTTTGAATGCTAAATTATAAGAAGATTAGTAAATTAAAGTTCATTAACGTGTAATATAATGTATATAATATTCTTACAAGGTCCCTATGAATAATATCACTTTTATGTAAGAATAAAAGACCATGTGCTATTCCTTTGGCAATATGCAGTTTATCTTTCCATTGTAATTCTGCACGTTTTTCTTTTAAATATTCTCGTAAATTTCCTTCGTTAGCATAACGAAAAACCATATTATAACACTCTTCGTTATCTATTTATTTATAGATAATAATATGTAAATTAAAATCATTATTATGCTCATAAATAATGAATTGTAAACATACCTTTTGTGACTCCAAGAAATTCAATAATATTTGGATGGTAACTAATTTTTTGTAATAATTGAAGCTTTTATACATAAATAATAGAAATTAGAAAGTAAATAAAAATACTTCTGGTTATTAACAATACCTCTTTTATAATAATGTTTTTGTCTAATTCTTTATGAGCTTTAATACGTTTGAGAGCAACTGTTAAATCGCAGTCTTTCCATTCGTATTTATAAACTGTTGCATAACCTCCTTTGCCGATCTCTTCAGGGTTCGTAAATTCTTTATATTCGTGGTACTTTATATATCCATCGGAAATACCTTTTTCAAGCCATTCTTCTGAAGCTTCTGAAGTATTTGTCATGGTTTACAAGTGAACTTTTCGTTTAATCTTGATCAAGAGTACGCACATATGTACTGCATATGTGGTACTGCATTTAACTTCGCCTTATCCGTGATACCCAGAAAGTGTATGGCATTTTCAATGATGCGGCAGAGTAAAATTAGTAAATTCTGCACTTGAAAACTTCACTTGCAACATCATACCTCTATTTGAATTAGAGGTGTAATTGATAATCGGATCTCTCAAAAATCGATTTAAACTCGATGATCGAATTCTAAATATATATATATTGCTGTTTATTACACTAACCTCTTTGATTAAACATAAATTTGCCTAGGATAGAACTGCTTAAAATTTTCTAATCGTTTAATAATTTAACCGTTTAATCGTTTAATTTAATCAATATTAATATAAATATAGTTCTGATCCACAGCCAATATAATTCGACCCGGATTTATTGAACGATTAACCAGTTCCAATTCTTAAACCTACTAAAGTTAAAAGATTTATTGAGTGTTATAAATTATTTAAATAATATAATAAAGTTATGCTATTATTGATTACTATTATAATTTATAAGAAAATTTTTTATGCACATAATGAATGTATCTATATTTAAATAAACATACGTACAATTATTACATGCCCAAAATTTATACAGTATTTAAATATTTAATATAAACCAATTATACACTTTATAATCGATTCTAAATCTAGAATAGATTCTAATAATATGCAGTTATATCTAGAAATGATTATAGCGCTTTGCAAAAAGGTGTGACCCTGAGATTTACGTACTCTAAATTGCCTATCGATCATATCTGCCAAAATCTACTGATCTCCCGATCGCAATTCTTGAATGTGTGCCAGGTTGATGGCGCATTACCCAGCCACAATGATCTCTTTATTTCAGTATACGTAATCATAAAATTTCTTTTTCATCCACCGTGTGTTTCATCAACCGCCCTGTACTTTGAATGTTTTCTATATTTCTTTTGTGAATTGAAGACATAACAGAATTATATAATTTTTGAAAATTTTTAGTTCATTATAAAAAGGTACGAAACTTATAAAATTTAGCTTTAAAAGTGAAACGTCTTTAACATTAAGGAAACTACTATTATTCTTTTTTTAAGATACGATTCAGCGTAGATTATGAGAAAAGTATTTCTTCATTTAAAGAATTTTTTTCATAAATCATATAGTACGTGTTTATTTGAGATTTATAATCATAGGTTTAAAGCCAATAATTTTTTTATCGCGTATTTTGTCTGTAAAATTTTGAAAATTATAATTTACAACATTTAAAAGTAAAAAAATATGAGTATTGGTTTGAATTCAAAACAGTAATATTAGAAGCTAAAGATTATGAAAAAAATGAAGGGAAACGTGCTTTTTTGAAATAACAAAAACATTATTCGGAGAAATAACATTAAAAATGGTGGTTTCGTTCTATTAAATTTATAATTTTATCATTGTTATCGTTAGAAGTTTTCAATTGTGCAAACAATTTGGACTGATTAATGCGCAACTAACCTGGCACACATTCAAGAATTGCTACTATCACTAACAAATTGGCTTAAACTATATTATTACGTAACCTCCGAGTGTTTAATCATGTGAGGTGATGATATCACTGGGTTCACTGTTCTTGAAACTACCCGTTTTTGATAATACTGTATGGTGTAAAACACCATAGGTATGTTTTAGTAAAAGTTTAAAACAAAAGATAATTATTTACTAGACCAAGGTTATCTTACAATCCAGTAATCGGAATTTGATGAATCTTATCCCATTTGGTTCATATCATTGAGACGAATTTAATGAATAAAAATCATTAAAGCCTACCTACTTAATCATGAAATGTCTTCGATCTTTTATTAATTTGTTTCTTCTTGAGTATTGAGATTATTTTTAATTATTTTTAATGAAATGTAGGTTTTTGAGAGCTTTTCTTGCTGCTCAATTGCGATGATCACCAAATTTGAGTTTGTATGCCATGCTGTTCGCAGCTACCACATTTAATTGAGCACAGCAGAGCTAAACTGCTGTGTCACATAATACACACGTACAGTACGTACGTACGTACGTACGTATAAATATTGAAATGTATTTACTTTTGTACGTATGTACGTACGTACAGAAAGCTATCATCTATGGCAAAAAATTCGGCAGAATGGCTTGAAAAAGCTATTTCCGATGAGCATATTAATTATCTTGAATATAATAAATTTACGAACCCTATAGAGGTTGGCTCCGGAGGTTTTGGAAAAGTTTTTAAATATGAGTGGAAAGACTACGAATTAACAGTTGCTCTTAAATGCCTTAAATTCGATACCGATTCAAGTAGAAATGAAAAAATTATTAAAGATTTTACTAAAGAGGTACTGTAATTATTATATTAAGACTTGAATTATTTCCCGACATAAATGTAATCCTAAATTTAATAATCATATAATAAAAGCTTAAGCTTTTACGAAAAGTTGACTACCATCCAAATATTATTGGATTTTATGGGCTCACAAAAGGTAAAAGATTTATAATATTTGAGCAAACCAAAATAATAATACAACTAAATGGTCTAATTCAAAATAAATAGATAGCAACGGGTATTATAATATGGTTTTAGAATATGCTGAAAATGGAACTTTGCGAGAATACCTAAAAGCAAATTTTACAAAATTGCAATGGACAGATAAGCTACGCATCGCTAAGGAAATAGCACTCGGACTTTTATTTCTAACGATAATAATATTATTCATAGGGACCTTGTAAGCATTGTACTATACTTTAGTGTACTGTATTTTATATTTATTATGGATTTTAATTATTAATACTCCAATAATTTAGCACTCGAAGAATGGTTTAATTCATCGAAGGAAATCAAAGATAGCAGATTTTGGACTATCAAAGCAGATAAATGAGATGTCTTCAAACTCAATTGTCCATGGGATGCCGGCATATATGGAACCTAAATGCCTCATCGATCACAACTATAAGCGTGATAAGAAATCCGATGTCTATAGCTTTGGAGTAGTGCTCTGGGAAATTTCGAGCGGACGACCACCATTCGAAAGTTTTGAATCAAAAATTGCCCTCTGTTTTCATATATGTAAGGGAAATAGAGAACAACCGACAGAAGGTTCACCACCTCAATATGTTAAACTTTATGAACAATGTTGGGATGATGAACCTATTAATCGCCCAGAGATACAACCAATTCTTAAAACTTTAAATAAACTTGCTGCTGATGCTGATCAATTAGAAATAGATTTCATAAAAAGTGGATCAATAGAACCGTACCTAAACAAGCTAAAAGAAGAACTACCAGAAAAAAGCACTCCACTTAATAACATTTTAGACCAAGTCATTGATTTAAAAGCTAGTAATAAAATGTAGCAAACAAATAAAGAAGCTTTAGAAAAACAAATCAGAGAACAAGAAGAAAAAAAAGTTTTTTTTTGATGCAGCAGATTAGCAACCATGAGCAAATGATCTCACAACTTATAAAAAAAAGAAATAATAATTATATTAAACACGTTACTTCAAATAATCAGAGTGAAGAATTAGGGGATGGAGCATCTGAATTACAAGCAGTACTTGATAGCGATCTTAATGCCAATATTGAAAACTGCATCACACAACTTAATGCCGATATCAAAAACTTACAAGATTTAGTCGAGGACTACATCAATAATTTAAAATTTGTTAATATCGATTTTAATGGAATAAACCAACTTTTAAAAATTTATGGTTCCCAAACACAGATTGATCCACAGACACCAAATAAGCCTTTAATTAAAGCAGTATTACAGCGCCATGTTTTAACAAAAATTTTGAAATTTGCGGACAGTTATTTTAAAATAGATTTTAATCAAGTTGATGAAAATTTATCATATTTTCTTGAGTCTAACATTGCCTATAAAACAAATGACTTGATCAAATCCATTGAAAGATTATCATATGAACGTGTTGGATCAGATCTTGTAACTCAAGCAGCGCCTATTAAATTACGTCAACAAATTTTTGCCGTACTTGGTTATCGCGGATTCTCTGATACATTTGAAAATGGTTTACATCCTTATATTTCAGAATGGCGAGAACAACTTAATCAGTCTATAAATCGATATCGTTTATACAAAGATTCTAAAAAAAATGCTTCGCTTAATGAGAAAGCAATTGGATTAATTAGTGAAATTATTAGAATTTTTTTTTCCGTTTCAAAGTTCAGGAACCAACAATCAATTATCATTGGTTTCAATATGATGATAAAATAACCAAGAAATATATGATATTGAAGAAGCATTTGTCGATATTTCTTCTTTCCCAATGATTGGGAGAGATTTCAATGATTCAAAACGCAAAATATTCACTCTTGCTAAAGTTTTTTCACGAATCAAACCTAAGAAACGTAATTACCAGAGGAGATCAAAAAGTCTAGAATGAAGGACAAATTTACGAACGGCAAGAAAACCCGCAATATCAATCAACCCCAATACAAATATCCTATTATGATGAATGTTATACAGAGTCTAATAATGCTACTGATTCTAAGATGAATGTTGGATCAAACATCCTATTATGATTAGTGTTGTGCAAATTCTGATTTTTTCAAATTTCATGCGCATGAAATGCGCACGGGAATTTTTCGGAATTTCTTATTAGCTTTCGGAATATTTCGGAATCTATAAAAATTTTGCTGGCATTATAAGTTTATACCAGCATTATATCGCTTTGCTAGCATTATAAAAAATCATGCGCATGATTTCATAATTTCATGCGCATTGCACAACACTAATTATGATGAATGTTATACAGAGTCTAATAATGCTACTGATTCTAAGATGAATGAGGATTCTCCTATTATGAATATTATACAGGATCTAATAATGCTACGGATTCTAAGATGAATGTGGATTCTTCTAATACTGAGATTAATAAAGGTTCCTCCAAAACGGAAGATATAGAAACTGAATCTTTTAAAGTCGAAGCTTCCACTCCTAAACCAGATTCATCCAAAACTGATCTTTCTAAAACTGTTGATTCTTCAAAAACTTATTCTTCTAGAATTGATGATTCTTCTAAAACTGTTGATTTTTCTAAAACTTATTCATTAAACAAAATATTAGAAGGCATTACTCCTTATAAAGTATACGCAAACAACCAATTTTATTGATCGTTACACTTACTCTTTAAAAGATTGTATAAATAGGTTGTATTTCTAAATAAAAATTAGGATATATAGTAATGAAATTTTACTTTCTAATCTGGTTATTAAATTTATCATTATTCTCCGCCACGCAAGTCAATATTTGTTACAAATGGCAGTTTTAAAAACCCCTTAGAATTGCCAGCCTTAGCTAACTTCTGATAATATATAAATGATTTATTTTACATTCAGATTTTTGACAATGAATAAATGCATTATATTCGTCCGATTCAACACCAATTCCATATTTGCTATAATATCCAAGCCAGGCGATTCTATCCGAATAATTCATATCTGCCGATTTTTGGCAACCAATAAAATACAATTAATTATGTGTAGAAACATAACGGTTTGAGTAAATTCATTTAATCATCTAGTGAGTTACTGTAATATCTTCTACCGATAGGTTATGGTATTTTTTTGCAATGCATTTTAAAGATATTACATGAAAAAAATTAAATGTTAAATACATGAATGTGCACATACGTACATTCAGAGTTAAGGTTAACTACGTATAATAATGTAAGAAAAATTTGTAGTTCACATTCTTATGCATTTATTAATTTTTTTTTATTGAGATTCAACTAATATAAGGAAAAATTTAATGGTAAGATTTGTATCATGGAATCAAAAAATTTAGAGTTAGTACGTGCGTACCTCATACTCATTCATCTTATTAGAGTTAGTAAGTAAAAAGATCAATTATTAACATGTGTTCAAATTATCATTTTATAAACGTTTGCCCATCAAATAACCCATTATATTAATATTAAATAATTTAGTAGGTGAATATAAAGATCTTTTACAGTATCATTCTAAGTCATAAATCAGGTTTACTCACTAAATAAATCATTTTACTTATACTATATAATTTAGTATATAAGCGTAAAAGTCATTAAGATTCAAATTTTTTAAATTAGAACTTATAAATATTTATTTGGTTAATTGTCTTGTGAGTATAAAGATCGTTCATTTAAGTATTTAAAATCAGCAAATTAAACTTATAAATATTGAGCTACATGTATACTTTAATGTGTGAGTATAAATATTTTTATAATCAAAAAAATTAAAATAAATATATATATTCAATATTAATATAATATTTTATATGATTTAGTCGATAAGCATAAAAATTAATTTGCATTGAAAAATGGAAACCGTATAGGCAATGTGAAAAGTAATGCAAAAAAATATATAAATTATAAATCCTGACATAACAATTAAAGGATGGACAAGTGAAAGCAAAGATATTGACGATTGCATTAAAGAATTTAAACATAAAATCAATAAAATAAGTATATCATTGAATGGATCCCATTCAATACACTGGCAATCATAAGTAGTGCAACAAAAAAAAAATTTCACTTACATCATACTACCTCCCGCAATTCCGGGC